TAAGGGCAAGGGTGGCCACGAGCATGGGCATTGGAGAGCGAGGGCGGGCGAGTGTGGGGAGGAAGGAAAGGATGGAAAGAGAGAGAGAGAGAGAGAGACAGAAAGAAGAGAAAGGGAGACAGAACACGAGAAAATGAGAAAAGGAGAAATAGCATGCACTCAAGAAAGCACAACAGCAAGAGCGAGATTGAGAGGAAGAGAGGGAGCGTTAGAGATAGCGAGCAAGAGTGACCAAGCGTGAGTTAGTGTGACAGAGTGACAGAGCCTGAGAGACAGAAGAAGAGAGTAGCGAGAACATAGAAACATAGAAGATAGGAGCAGGAGGAGGCCATTCAGCCCTTCGAACTGCTCCATCATTCTTTCATGATCATGGCTGGTCGTCCAACTCAATAGCCTAATCCTGCTTTTTCCCTATAATCTTTGATCCCATTCACCCCAACTGCTATGTCTAGTTGCTCTTGAATACATTCAATGTTTTGGCATCAACTACTTCCTGTGATAATGAATTCCACAGGCTCACCACTCTTTGGATGAAGAGATATCTCCTCATCTCCATCCTAAATCGTCTACCCTGAACCCTCATATTGTAACCCCTGGTTCTGGACACACCTACCATCGGGAACATCCTCCCTGCATCTGCCCTGTCCAGTCCCGTTAGAATTTTAAAAGTCTCTATGAGATCCCCCCTCATATGTAAGAACTCTAGCAAAAACAATCCCAACCTACTCAATCTGTCCTCATACGTCAGACCCGCCATCCCCGGATTCAGCCTGGTAAACCTTTGCCACACTCCCTTGAGAGCAAGAACATCCTTCCTCAGAAAAGGAGACCAAAACTGCACACAATATTTGATTTCACCAATGCCCTGTACAACTGCAACAACACATCTCTGCTCCTGTACACAAAACCTCTCGCAATGAAGGCCAACATACCGTTAAGAGGCCAGAGTTAAAGACTATGAGTGCCAAGAGAGTTCTACCCCAGATGGTAGGACTTAAGATGCTGATTTCACTTGAGTTGAACTGGAAGGCATTTTTGCAATTCATTTATGGGAAGTGGCTACTGCTGGCTTGATTAGCATTTATTGTCCATTCCTAATTGCTCTGCAGAAAATGGTAGTGAGCTGCCTTCTTGAACTACTGCAGTCAACGGAGGATAGGTACATTCAGAGGGATTCTGGAGAGAGAATTCAGCAAGTAATAGGGAAGGCAGGTGGAACGTTGGCTTTTGTTTCAAAGGGAATGAAATATAAAAATAGGGAAATCTTGTAAAACTATATAAGGTACTAGTTAGATCATACCCAGAATACTGTGAACATTTTTGTCCCCCTCATCTAAGGGAAGGTGTACTAGCATTGCATTATTCAAAGAAGGTTCACTAGGTTGATCCCGAGTATGGAGAAATTTTCTTATGAAAAGAGATCGAGTAGATTGGGCCTGTATTTAGTGAAATTTAGAAAATCAAGAGACAACCTTATTGAAACATATTTGATTCTTTGGGGTCTTGACAAAATGTGGAGAGATTGTTTTTTTCTTGTGGAAGAGACTAGGCCCCAGAGCATTGGGCCACCTTTTTAACATAGAGATGAGAAGGAATCTCTTCTCTCAAAGAGTAGTGAATCTGTGGAATTCTTTACTGCAGCTGTTAAGGCTGGATCACGAAGTATATTGACAGCTCAGAATTACAGATTTTTAATCACTATGGGAATCAAGGGTATGGGGGAAAAGAGAGGAAAGTGGAGTTAAGGATTATCATATCAGCCGAGATCTTATTAAATGGTGGCGCAGACTCGATGTGCCAACAAGAGCTACTTCTACTCTTCTGCCTTATGGTCACAGTATTGCTATGATGGGTGTTCTGGAATTTTGACCCAGCAATAGTGAAACAACGTCAATGTAGTTCCAAATCAGCATGTAGTATGGCTTGGAAGGGAACTTCAGGTAGTGGTGTACCCATGTATCCGTCACCCTTCTAGATGTTGGAGGTTAAGGATTTGGAAGGTGTTATTGAGTATACTTGGGAAGTTGCTGCAATCAACCTAGTAGATGGCACACATTGCTGCCTGTGTGTGTCAGTGGTGAAGCAATAAATGTTTAAACTAGGGTGCCAACTTGGTGGAGCAGGTTTCCCTAGGCACTGTCAAACGTCTTGAGCAATGTTGGAACTGCATTCATCCAGGCAAGTGAGTATTCAAACGCTATACAGACCTGTGCTTTCTAGACGACAGACAGGCTTTGGGAGTTAGGCTATGACTTAATTACCTCAGAATTCCTAAACTCTGCCCTGGTAGCCAGATTCACTGGTCCAGATCAGTTTTCAGTCAATGATAAACCCCAGTTTGTCGATAGTGGGAGATTCAACAAATGCTAATGCCATTAAATGTCAGAGATGGTTAGATTCTCTCTGATTGAATGAGTTAATTGCCGATACTTGGATGGAATGAGTGCAACTTGCCATTGGATATTGTTCAGGTCTTGCTATATATGGTCATGATCTGCTTCAGTATCTAAGGAGTTGCAAATGATGCTGAACATTGTCCTATTATTGATCACTTCCACTTCTGACTTTATGGTGAAGGGAAAGTCACTGATGAAGCAGCTGATGATTGGGCCCAGGACACTACCTTGACAAGCTTTGGCAGAGATTTTCTTGGAGTGAGATGAAAGACCTCCAACAACCATAACCATCTTCCTTTGTGCTAGCTATGATTCCAAATCAGTGGTGAGTGTTCCTGCTGATTACCATTTACACATCTTTGTGAGAACTTCTTGATGCCACACTCCGTTAAATGCAGCTTTGATGTCACGGACATTTACTCTCCCCTCACCTCTGGAGTTCAATTCTTTTGTCTATATTTGAACCAAAGCTGTAACAAGGTCAGGTGCTGAGTGGCCAAAGCAATACTGGGCAGCTTATTACAAAGCAAATGCTGTTTGATAGCACCATCGACAACCCCTTTGATTACTTTACTCATGATTGAACAAAGATCAATGGGAAGGTAATAAGCCTGGTTGGAGTTGTCCTGACTATTGTGCACAAGATATACTTGGATAATTCTCCATGTTGCAGGCTAGATTTAAGTGTTTTGTAGCTGTACTGTAAAAAGCTTTGCTAGAGGTAATTGTGAAGCACAAGTCTTCAGTACCCATAATGTTGGCAGTGGCAATGTCTGGAACCATTTCTTGATAACATGTGGAGTGAATAGAACTTGCTGATCCACGGGGTATCTCTTCCTTATCACAAATTGCTGACTCATTTTCATAACATGAATGGTATTCCTTGTTTACGTGCTTTTTACAGCTCTTAGATGATTTGCTCAGATAGTTTTTTTTTAATTAAACAGATATTAAGAAACTCAATAGATCTGGCAGCATCTAGAGAGAAAGCAGAGTTAATGTTTCAAGTCCAGTAACCCATCCTCAGAACTGATGTTAACCCTGCTTTCTCTCCTTAGATGCTATCAGACCTGCTGAGTTTCTTGAGCTTTTTCTGTTTTTGTTTTGTTGAAGTAAATATGTTTGATTTGGATTGTTTGGATGAAGGTTATTTTAGAGGGCCTATTAAAAAGCACCAAGCAGCCAATTTCTGTAGCTTGGGAGGCAAGGATATAAAAATGAGCTCATTAGTTAGAAGCAGTGAATCATGCTATTTTCTCGTATGTAAAGAAGTGGTAAGCTTAGTAACTACTGTAATCATACATATGTTTGATCTTGTTCCGAAATTCTTCTCATTTTAGTTATTTTTGGCATTATGAAAAGTTTGACATTAGAATTATCCAGTTATGTCTGGAAGAGAGAGGAAACAGCTTTGAAGGAGTATATACAAATGCTTCATACAAGAACAGGTGCAGTAGGCCACCTAGCCACTTGAACTTGCTCCAACATTCAATAAGGTCATGGCTGACCTGATTATAACATCAAATCCACAATCCTGTCTACTCCAACAACTTTTCAATCCCTTGCTTAACAAGAATCTATCCAACGCTGCCTTAAAAGTATTCAAGGACTCTACTTCTACTATCTTTTCAGTGAGAAAATTCTAAAGATACACAATGCTCAGAAAAGTTCATTCACAGGAAAAGGGCATTGCTGGCTAAGCTAGCATTTATTGCTCATCCGAGAGGGTAGTTAAGAGTCAACCACATTGCTGTAGGTCTGGAGTTACATGTAGGCCAGACCAGGTAAGGATGGCAGTTTCCTTTCCTAAAGGACATCTGTGAAGCAAATGGGTTTTTTCTGATTATGTTTTCATGGTCATCATTAGACTCTTAATTCCAAATTGTTATCGATTTCAAATTCCACCATCTGCCATGATAGGATTCAAACCCGGATCTCCTGAACATTAACTGCGTCTCTGGATGAACAGTCCAGCGATAATACCACTAGGCCATCCCTCCTCCTAATGCAGAATTAACAGCAGTAATTAAATATTGGTATTACATGCAATCTTGGTCAGATGGGACTTACAAATAAGAAAAGAGAGAAAATGAAAATAAAGGAAGGAGCAGGAAGAATTGATCCAATAAAGGCAGCAAAGACAAAGCTGGAGGGAGAAAATAGAGCAGAGAAGTAGGGGTAACGAAAAGGAAAACAGAAGATTAACAAAGGAGTGGAGCTAGAGAAAACATTTTAAGGGAATGAGCAAAGAAATATCATGGGGAAGAACATCACTGACAAAACAAAAATAATCAAGTAAGTATTCCCATTAATATTTGCCTTGGAATGTGTCCTGGGATATTCTTTTAGCATATGAAGAGCAAAGTTATATGCAGTACTCATTTGTTGTTGGCTGCAGAATGATACATATCATACAGCCTCACTATGAGACAGAAATTAAAATCCTTTATATAGTAGCATAAGTGGAAGAGAACAAAAATATTTCAGACATTTGGCTAATTCCAAAACCTTTTTTTTTTTGCACTGTTCAAATTTGCTTGTGCGCATCATCAAAGCAAAACAGTCCTTCCCGCCAAAGTCAAAGATGAACATGAAAATACTAACCCACTGATGTTCCTTGTAGTAGGTTATGGAACTCATCTGTCTCCAGCACCTTTAACATATTGGTAGATTCCATTCTCTCTAACCCTACTCTCCAGTAGACATAGATTTTGTGGTTGAAGCTGACGTACACCAGACAGGGACTATTTCGATCATTTTTGCATGCATAAATGCCTGGAAGGGGAGAAAAAGGCGACAGTAAGCAATGGAGCACTGTTAAGCTTAAGAAACCCACTTCATGGTGCATGAACAGTCTGTCTCTTTCCAGTCAGACAAAACTATTTCCAGGCTTACTAGAATCTTCAGTTACCGTTAATATGGGTTAATAGATTCCAATTGATACAGTAAAAGTCAATTCTATCAAACTTGCGTCAAAGCCACAAGTGAGAGGCTGGAAAAGCACAGCAGGTCAGACAGTATCCAAGGGGCAGGAAAGTCACCGTTTTGGGCTGAAATGTTGACTTTCCTGCTCCTCGGATGCTTTCTGACCTGCTGTGCTTTTCCACCCTCACACCTATAGACTCTGGCTTCCAGCCTCTGCAGTCCTTACTGTCTCTTGCGTCAAAGCTATTTCGGATTTTATTAACAAGAACAATTTTTATCTGTGTGGCAGCTTTCATTGAACAAAACTTACTAAATGAATGGAGGGGCAGATTTTGAGAAGGCTTTTGTACTTACGTTTTGAAGCTAACCTTCTTTGGAGGTTAACAGACAGTGAAAATCTGAAGGAATGTGAAGTAGAAGTTAAGGCTCTCAAACAGAATTTCCAGGAGCTTGAACTTCAGAACAGCACGTCTGGATGGCTTTGCAAAAGTTGCTATCCTGGGAAAGTTCTCCATGCATCTGGCCATATTGCCATAATTACTGTGTCATGAATCATCACTGAGCCACTGGTCCCAAAACAAAAGTCTGGTACAGTCTAAGTTTAGACCAGATTGTACCCAATAGGATTTTTTATATGGTTATATATTGCATATATTTCAGTAAAAGTACCAATCATTTCAGATGGATTGGTTTGAATCAAATACATATATTTTGAAGCTGTATAGCTCAAAAAAATTAATGTAAGAATCAAGAGTTACACATAATAAAATATTATTGCATACTTTCTTCAACTTTTGAATAACTTCTGATCTGGAGAAGTTACTATACTTGGGAGATTAACATCAACAATTACAACCCTTCACCAGAATGGGGCTTCACCAAATTAGTCATTAAGTTCCTCACACCATCATGCTAAGTGACACCAGTCCAAGCATCTAAGACATCCATCTGAAACAGGCCGTAAGTTCCTAATAAACATTAATCCAGTACTCCCACCCATTTAGGATGCTACTCCCCCAAGGCAGGGTTTACAGAGATTAGCATCAAACTATATCTGATTCACAGCATGAGAACCCACACCATCAATGTCAATATTAGCAAAGTATTACCCATCTGTATTACTCCAGGAGTTAGCTGGGAGGCAGGGAAGAATCTGAGAAGGCATGAGATAGACAGCACTTTGCCTTCCTGTGTCATCCACAATTAGGTTTGGGACATGGAAGGTTAAAGTCAGCCTCAGGACATTTCAGACACTCAAACAGACAATTAATGACCACTTAAAGATCCAACACCACCACTACTGATGATACCTTACTAGACATGAAACCTTCCTTCTATGCCCAATGAAGAGTCTTGATGGTAGCATGGCCCTAAAACCCCCAGACCCTCCAAGTTAACACCCTCTCCACCTGAACAGTGAGGATAACGCAACTCCACTCAGCTGTGTCAAGGGCCTCCCGCAGTACCAGTAAAGGACCTCTCTTCTAGCAGCAGATACCATCCCAGTAGCACTGCTGGTACCGAAGAGCTACAGGCCTCTGACTCTTGCATGGAGGCCCCATGAGCCTTGACAACCGGCAGTTGAGTACCTGAGTTATACACAATCATATCAGGATTCTTGTAAAAGACTGTGGTGGGTTTGTCACCAGCTCTCCATGCTAGAGGTTCCCACAACTTTTCCCCACATGACCCCATTTTAATACAAACACTAATGTGACCCAAGACACCAAAAAAAAGCAATAAAGCTGCATAGAGATATGCCATATATAATTACTAAAGTTTGCTTGTTACAGGTCAATATATAATATGCACTGAAACACAGAGACCAGGAGTAAAAGTACACAATTCAGCGCTTTGAGCCTGCTCACTATTCAATATGATCACAACCAATCCTCTACTTCAACAGCGTATTCCCACTTGAATAAATCACAAATATAAAGAGCTTTTTTAAAAAAAGCCAAGCTTTAAAAAGTGCTTTGGAAAAATATTATGTTTATTATTTTATGCACTCATGTAGATTTCAACAAATCTTTCCATATTCTCTGGTGACAGGAGACCCACTTTCCCCATTCCCAAACATATATTGTAATCAACCCTTCTCCCTCCCCATTACACAGAAATGCACATACACACTTCTCCCCCCGCCACATTACACAAATCTTCCCAATTTCCTGTGCGTCACCCCCACCAACTGCACATAGTAGCCCCTCTTCCCAGCTTTGTTAACCCACTCAATCAGCAGTCTCTCTCCTCAAACCAGCCCTCCGTTCACTCAGCAGTCCCTCTTCCTAAACACCCTTCCCCTCACAAACCTTAATTCAGCAATCTTTCTCCCAGGCACCCGGCCCACTCATTCACTCACCAGCCCCTCTTCCCTGAATCAATTCTGTTTCAGAGTTGTGTGGAAGTTTACTCATAGCGTAAGTTCAAGGTAAAGAAAAATTAATTCCAAGATGTTAATGACATCAAAGGATATGGAGATAGCATGGAAAAATGGTGTTGCGGAAGATGTTCAGCCATGATCTAGAATGTTGAAGCAGCTTGAATGACTGAATGCACTGTTTTTGCTCCATGTGTCTAACTGGCATAGCTGAACAAACATACAATAATGATTGAAACCACCACTCAGCTACCCAGCTCAGCCACATGATCTCCTATTTTTTCTCCACTCTGGACACAATCAGTGCCTGCGGGCCTCGGTCTACGTCAAGTTGGCTCACAAACATACCAGGTCTACTTGAATTCATCACTGAGTGGTTTCTGAAACTAAAGGGCACATTGGGTTTACTGTCCACCTCTTGTTATTTAGTGCATTGATCTAGAATGTTTAGAGTTGTCCATCTGAGCCACCAGACTGGAAGGTCTTCTTTCCACCATCATCATTGCTGCTCAGATGAGGGGCAGTTCATGACCTTAAATGGGACCACTGCAACGCATAATTTGGAAACCCTTGTCCTAGCCAAAAAAAAAAAAGGACCATCACCAAGGTCACTAAGTTATTAGATTTTATGGCATGGTACTGTCATTACTTGTGGTGTAGGATTGGCCTCATGTACAAACCATATAATTCAATCACATTTTCTCAGTGCCATTTTAGTTTTGCTATATTTTTGTTGCTACAGACAAAGCAACATAGCGCCATAGATGTCACCAATACAACTGTTACCGTACTATAGTGAGAACACATTTTATTACTGTCAATTATGTGGCACGCTGCTGCATGCTATCCTTTATATTTTGTAAATAATCTGGTAAGGTAAATTGGATTAAGTTCTTCATATGGCGGTAATATAAACAATGATCAGAGAGTAAACACATTATCCGCTAATGAACTGCCATATCTCAGGAACCCAGACATTACATTTACTACCTTAGATAAACTGTTGCTTATATGTTAGGAATCAGCATTTTTAAGTAGCAAAGAAAGACTGAAAATTACTGAAGCATTACTCAAGGTGGTTTTTATTTCAATATCTGCAGCCCCTTAAAATGTGTAACAAGTGATAAAATACAACAGTAATTTAAACAAACAGAACCGTCAATGGAAATAAATGTCCAGAGATGTAAAATCAGCTGTCAGTTCACTACCATTTATTTAGTATTGTCATACAAAGTTTAAAGTCTACCCTAGTGAAATAATAATTTTTTGAAGAAATGCTAATTTAATGATTTTACTCATTGATTCAGCCATATCAAAGTGTTGGGGTTTGGATCTTGTTACAATCTAGAGAGAGTTACAAGTTTTAAAAAGAGAAATGAATTTCCCAGTGACTGATTTCATGTTTTAAGGTTTTTACTGTAACAATCAAACTAAAATCAACCATGTCTAAACATTACCTAATAAACAACTAATAAGCTAAAGGTACGGAAAAGATACACCCCATTAACTTACCAACACAACCAAAAACCCCACGTCACAGTTACACTATATTTCTTCTGAGAAAGCAAAGCAATCTTGTGTTTAAAGTTCCAATCTCCTCCCAGCTTTAACAGGTTGTTGAGAGGGATTCTTCTATTGTCCTATCAAGTAAGGTTTAGTTTATTCAATCTTCTGAGCATAAGTAAAAAAACATCCCCTCAATCTGTAACTCTCTACTAGCTTTGTTATTTTGGAATCTGTTCTTTGCTGACCGTTAACCCAAAAAAATTATTTACTTCTGCTTGTCAACACAGCACTTGTTATAGGTCTTCTTCCCTAAAAATCTCTGTATGAGGGACTCCAGGAGTCTGTTGGACTGGCCTTTCTATTCAAGTGTTAAACTTTGCACATTAATTTTAAAATGTTTTGATACAAGCAGGTCACATGGACATGTCTCCAGGCAGAGTTCACATGAGATTACATCCCTTCTCCAAACTATGCTATTCTACTTTGAATGAAAGGAGACAGCTTAAAACATCTAATAAATTCCAGCAATGCAACAAATCTGCTCCCAACCAGTTCGCTGCAGATATTAATTTAATCGCACAAATAGTTGGACTCAGATAATCCAAAAGATTTTATATCAGTGACTCACCGCATGAGGTTAAGGGCTGGATTTCTGACCCGGAAGTGGAGACAGACAGAAACTAAAAATAGCCTAGCCAGTGCTTGCCATCGGTCCGGTTCCATCCAGCCTTAAGGCAAATTTTGAAGAGATGGGACAGCAGTAGCTGACTTGGCTCTTTAAGAGCGACTTGAATCCAATAAAAGGAGATCAACTGAAATTATTGATGGCCAAGAAAGCTGTAGACTCGGCTTCCTATCTTATCAAGACATGGAATCCACATTTATGGACTAATCAAGATGTACATAGGAAAGAATAGTCCTACATTAAGCAGCAGGCCACACACTACATTCAGCATTACTGTGATAAATGGTTGACATATCTGCGCCTAGGGCAACAAGTGTGGCTACACGATCTTAGTAGGAAAGGTGCCATCATTCAAGAGGTCAAGAACAGTCCCTCTTCCACAGCTACACTGGCACTATCCCCCACCTCTTCCTCCGCTACATCGATGACCAGTTCACCAGGGCCATCTCTGATACCTCTCTCTCCGTCCTCTCAGTCTCCATCTCTGGTGACCACCACAAAACTGATATCTATTTCAAGCCCACCGACTCCCACAGCTACCTAGACTACATCCCGTCTCACCCACCTTCCTGCAAGAATGCGATCTCCTACTCCCAATCCCTCGCCTCTGCCGCATCTGCTCCCAAAATGAGGTGTTCCACTCCCGAACATCCCAGATGTCCTCGTATTTCAAGGACCACAACTTCCCCGCTTCAGTGGTTGAAAATGCCCTCGACCGCATCTCGTGTTTCCCGCACTTCTGCCCTCACACCCACTTCCCGCAATAAAAACAAAGACTGAATCTCCCTTGTCCACACGTTTCACCCCATTAACCTCCAGATTTGACGCATCATTCTTTGCCACGTCCGCTACCTGCAATCTGACCCCACTACGAAGGATATATTTCCCTCCACACCCTTATCTGCCTTCCGGAGAGACCGCTCTTTCTGCGACTCCCTCGTCCGCTCCACACTCCTCACTAGTCCCACCACCTCAGCACCTTTCCCTGCAACCACAGGGGGTGATACGCCTGCCCCTACACCTCCCCCCTCACCCCCATCCCAGGCCCCAAGAAAACCTTCCACATCAGACTGATGTTCACCTGCACATCCGCTAATGTAGTCTATTGTATCCGCTGTTCCCGATGTGGCCTCCTCTACATCGGTGAGACCAAGCGGAGGCTTAGACACCACTTTGTAGAGCACTCGGTTCGTGACAAACGACAATACCTCCCAGTCGCGAACCACTTCAACTCCCACTCCAATTCCCTGGGCAACACGTCCATCCTAGGCCTCCTCCAGTGTCACAACGATGCCACTAGGTAACTGGAGGAGCAGCACCTCATATTCCGCCTTGGGAGCCTACAATCCAATGGTCTCAATGTGGACTTTACTAGCTTCAAAATCTCCCCACCCCTGGTCTCATCCAAAGACCAACTCTCCCTCTCATCCCAGCCTCCTTGACCTGTCCGTCTTCTCTCCCACCTCACCTGACCAATTCCCACCACTACCTACCTGCACTCACCTATCACCATCCCACCTACCTTCCCCAGCCCGACACCACCTCTCTGTTTATTTCAGAGCCCCCTTCCCCTCCCCCATTTCTGAAGAAGGGTCCTGACCTGAAACATCAGCTTTCCTGCTCCTCTGATGCTGCCTGGCCTGCTGTGTTCCTCCAGCTCCACACTGTTAATTCTGTATCCATGTTTGTACTGTCCTGTTTATTTCATGATCTTCAACTTTTCTCACACGTCTACTGTGCAACACTATCAAATGCCTTCTAAATGCAGGACCACATGCATCTTCCTATTCATGTGGTTGGTACCGATGTGGACCATCATCTCTGGCTGACCATTGTACAGCAATCCTATATTGTACATCCAGCAGGTGGAATTGTATGAAAGAATCATAGGAAGCTCATTCCACCACTACTTGACTGCAATGAACCCAATAAGGAATGTTGTCATAAAACTCCCAGACCTCACACTGTCAGGAATGGAATCAAAGTAAACAGACTTCAACTCTAAGATCTACCAATCTTCCAAGGGTGCCAGAGAATGTGTTCTGGGAGAAGAGTAAAATACAGACCACCTGAATTTATGAATTCCAAGATCTGAGGAACGATGGGGTAGTGGCAATTGTAATTGTATGCACAAATGTAAAATATTAATAATGAGAAAAAAGCTTGTGGGGGGATATATTGTTTAAGACTACACGTGTCTAAAAGGCCTAATACTGATGAGTATGTTTGAGACAACCCACTATTATGATGGCAAATGACTTGAGAGCAAAATGACATGATGTGGAAAGAGTAAGAATCTACCATAAAAATCTACCTTATAGGCCCTCCTCATGGTATCTATAATGATGTCTACCATATCATTGTAACTTATATTTAGCTGCCAACATACAACAGACAACATCTTGTTTAAGACCAGAGCCCATAAGACATATCAGCAGACATAGGCCATCAGCCTATTGAGTCTACTCCACCATTCAATTAGATCATGGTGGTCTGATAATCCTGTACACCATTTTCCTGTCTTTTCCTGATAATCCTTCATTCCCTTCCTGATTAAAAATTCCTCTCAGTCTTGAATATGCCTCTTCTCATTCGACTAAAAAGTGGATTTCCTCTACCACACCAGACCAAACTGGCCCTCTAGATCCCTACCCTAAAAGCGTTGTTCTCAGCCAACACACCCCACAGTGAGCAATAGTGCAGATAATTCAAGGCAGTCTGTGATGACGATTCTCAGACAATAGTCCATAGCTGTAACATTAACTTATCTGCCCTCTTGATTGATACTGACTAACCTACTGACAGGTTCCAGTATTTACCTTTATTAAAGTTAATAATGGTTTGTTTCTAAAACTGATTCTATTTCACTTTCACAGAAGTCTATGAACAATTTAACAATTACTTAGTTTGACACTTACCAGCACAAAATGCACTGACGTTCTCATCAAACTGAAACCGGACAACAGACCTATTTTGGTCAATGATATAGGTTTGACCATCCCAAGCACAGGCCACTACTTCCTCTCGTCCATCACCCTGAAGAAAGTACACAATTCAATTATGCTCATCTCATTACACATACATTACAAAATGGCCATTCATGGCTACTTTCTGTGCTAAGTCTGGTCACATTTCACAGAAATATTACTTTTTAATGGGAAGATCTGGCCTGAAATCATGCAAAATGTGACCCCCACAGCACTATCCATTTTAGATAATTGTTTATTACAAAGTCGACTATTAATTTAAATAGTGGTTTAAATGACACATGCCACTAAACTGTGCCTCACATTACTGGCAATATAGATGCCTGAGTAGCTTTATCGTAGGCTCAGATTTGGTCTAGTAAGATTAATCCAAGAAGACTTTAATCATAAATATTACCTCATTGACAATTCTGTTAAATAGAGCAAGTCTATCCACAGCACTCCTTTTTAATGATTTACCTTGGCAGAGTTTGCATGAATTTTTCTCTGTTAAGAATATTAAATTTAACACACACTTTTTAAAAATGTAAAACTTTACAATTCTCCCTATCTCGATCACTTCTTTCTTTCTCATCTCTTCCTCAAAGCCATACATATCCTGCACCTCATATGGTAGCAACCAGGTTTCTAATCACACCACTGAAGTAAATTTTCTAAAGGCAGACAAGAGTATCTGTATCAGGCTGGATTTTATGTGAAATTACCTGTGGCTTTCTGTTCAAATCCTCTCAATTGAAATAAACCCAATCTTTTCATCAAAACATACTAATCTTCCACCTTCAGCATTTAACTGCCCCTCAAATATTTCAGAATTCTTAATTTCACTACTTATCCAGAAGACCATTCCAGACAAAAACCATATGGTGTTTGATGAAGTGTCTCTGCCACCAGGCCAATGCTTGCGCTTCAATCTGTATTTACTTCTCTGGTCCTACTTAATTATTCCAGTCTAAATTTTCATCCTTGTCAACGTTAAAGTGCAAACCAACACATTAATTTTGAAATTTGTGTGTTGCCTGCATGAGTGTCAATTGGCAAGTATAACCTGCACAGCACCCAATCTTGTGCATATTTTCACATGTAATTGAATTTCTAGGCCATCGTATTTCACATGTGCCTTTTGAGGACATGGATGAAGTAATGACTTCAACTTGTTATTATCCTACTACTAGGCATTAGGTCTTAAATGTAGCTGTTTTAATCTGGTCCCTGTCCTCCATGATTAGATCAGTCTCTGATTAATTGCCAGAATGATCTAAATTGAAGACCCTCCTTTTACATGTTCCTTTTGGTTTCTGCTCTGATCTAAGACAATTACCTAAACATTTTTTCTTTCTTGGAAGAGCCTTAGTCTTTGTTTGCAGTACAAATGTGAATCAGAGTTGAATCAGCCCACTGCTTGGCATTCTTCAAAAGGGTGCATTGAGGTCCCAGTCAAATGTTTTCTTATGACAACAATCCAAATGACCCTATCTTCCTCCAAATGCAGGATTTCACTAATGCATAATATTTAAATTTTTTAATATCCCATCATAATAGTGGCAGAAAAACAGCTGTAGCAACTATAAATACAAATCAACAAATCTAAGTTAAGAAAAACAACATACTGCAAGAGTCAGACTGTGAAACCTATGGGTTGCTGTGAACTTTGGAAATAATTGTATACTACAATTAAAGCTTGAAAGTATTTAAGTATCATCATTAAGATTTCAAAAAAGCCTTTGCTGATTTTCTCCAAGTTTACCTAGCCTTTTAGAAAGTTATACCTTCCCCCTATTGAATTTCTTCTATTTTATGATAGTTGAAACAAAATCAGCAATATGAACAAACATTAATTTGTGTCTATAATTCTATTTGATAAATGACAAGATTGCTGGGCTCCACTCCCAACTCCCTATTATTCTTGAAACTTACTGCATCTTTGCTTTCAGTGATTCCTTTGTTCACTATCTCTTCCATCAACCAGAGCTTTAAAGACCTATTGGTATACATCATCAGAAGTTTTCCCAACGTCAAGTTTGAGTGCTACTTCATTAAACTGTGAAATTGGATTTCAAAATGCTGCACCAGTACACAGCAGCCTGTAAATAAACATGTTCAGCAAGTCCTGATTTGTGGAGTTGAGCTGGAAATAAAGCTGTTCCTTCATGTGCTTGCAACCTGTTATCATACTGGCTCTCTAATACAAGAATCACCATAGGAGAAAAATACTCAAAAAATCCTGCAGAAGGTAATGACGAGATAATGTATAATTAAAGCAATACTCCCTAAACAAATAATCCTCCTTTTTAAAATCGATACCCTTACGAGTTTTATTTGAATGTGGATCGTATTAGTGATGCTCAGAATACTTATTTGCATTCGAACCTGAACTGACAGGTCAAAGTACGCCTAATACTGTTTCCTCGGAAAATTATCAGGCCTAACCAATATTGGATTAGTGATAACATCATTTTTTTGCACAGCTCAGGCTTGATAGCCATTTTTGCCTATTCTAATAGGCCATGAGCATACCTAGGTCCGTAACATTATCTCTGCCTACTGCATGAAGGCTCACACCCCTGTTTGACACCACTGTATTTTAGACCTCAATCTTTAAGGTTTGTGGAACTGGTATCATCTAATATTCAAACTCAATTTACATGAATAGGTTTAAGACTTGGTAGTTTGTGATAGATGTTAAAAGAAAGCAACATAGAAACAGTGTCATGCTGAGTTTTCAGTGACTACCATGGTAATACTCACTGTTACATCCAACTTTTCCAAAGCAAATAGCTGGTGATCCACTTGAACAGACCACAGAAGTTTGTCTGACCCATCCATCAGTTTCAGGGTACCTGTGCAAACAGATAATAAATAGAACTTTACTCAATCTTATTAATCAATAAGATTCCAATTAACAACGTATTGAGCCTTTGGTGAAAAAAAGGAGGCTTAGTAAACTGATCAAGAAACCAACAGGAGAAAGGAAAATATTCTCACAACCCTTAAAAGAGAATTAATTTTCTTCATTTAGTGTCAGTTTGACATATATAGATTTCAATTTAACTTTCCTACAACATTTTTTGATAGGGTAACTGAGTTATGGTAACTTCATTATTTCAGTACAATGCATCCTTTCCCCTCTCTATTCCATTTATTAGATATTATGCCCTCAGCATGGAGTGGACAATGCCAACGCAGGTACGAAAAGGTGGAAGTGCCCTGTGAAATGACACAAGTGTAACAAATGTTGCTAAAGTTGTCAAGTCAGTGTGGAGGGTACCATTCACAGGATGACAGCAGTCTCTCAAGGTATTTAAATACTCCCAGTCTTCAACAGGACACTTGTCTCCTATCAGAAAGATTCAAACAGCAGACCAATTTGGCTGCAAGTAAGGCCTTAATTGAATCGATTAGCTACCCGACTCTGCTGGGCAGGTATCTGGTGCTGGTTCCTCAATGCAAGATTGTGTGTCTGGCCCCACCTCCAAGGGACTTGAAAACCTCTATCCATAAGTGACTCTCTCTCTCTCCACAGGTGGAGTCTGGCTTATCTAAGTATTTTCTATTTATTACATGATTCCAGACTCCTTTTTTAAAATATAACTCAAGGATTCTAACAATTTTATTTAATCATTAGCATCAGTGGATTAATTAATTTATGGAATCTGCTGTTTTGTAAACTTAAAGGTTCTAGGAATACCTTACAGCCCATGCATGCATTATCATTTAAAACAGCCACGTTGTTCTAGAACAGTAGGTCAGAATTGACTGGACACTTGCCTTGAAGTAAAAGTATATTTATTGCACACACCATTACCATTTGCAAAAAGTTATGCCAGGAGTGAGTCAGGCCTTTACTGGTGCCATTCCAAAATTTGCTGAAAAGCTTTGCCATAAACACTGCCAAATCAATGGCAAAAACTGATTTGCTTTGATCAATGCAGCAACTTAGACAAAACCACAATGGCAATGGTGATCTGGCAGAAAAGATCTTCAAATGCTTTAAGATCGATTTCCCTTCAGAAATGTACAACTGAGGTTTGTTGATTTATTTAGTTCACGGAAAAATAATTTTCATTTGAACGTACTAGCTGGCCAGCATTTTTCTATTTAAATAGAACTGAATTTTTGAAAATGATTTAATGTTTGGATAAACTTAATGTACTCGAGTCTGTTAAAGCATCAATCACCAATTTTCACATGGAGTGTCAATAAAAATTCACATCCTTTAGAATTCTCCTGGATACATTTAATTCCACATCAATTGAATATAGCACTAACAATTTTGTTGAGGAAATAAATATAAAATTGGTCCATTTAAAGAATTAAGATGACTGTAAGTGAGCATGCTACAGCCACTCCTGCATTTCCCTTTCAAAACACAGAATACGTGCTTTAAGATTAAAAATGGTCATCAACATTTGAAATGTTTTGCAATTTGGAAACCATCAATTGGTTCAAGTATCTGCAGCAGTGCATACTGCTTACATTACACCTGAAAACACCTTGGGAAAACAGAATAAATAACCTGATAGATGTGACAAATTCTTGAAAACAAAAACTTGACCCAAATTTACACATTTATAAACCAGCAAAGAAAAAGGAATGAATAATGTAATACTGTTCAAATGATTGAAATTGGAATTGATAATAAGCAGTTGTCAATTGCCATTGGCTGCATGCTTTTGAATCATCATAGTCCTAGCTGTGGCCTACTCAAAGAGCAACTCTCTAATAAATTACTGCATCAAATCATCTCTGACGTTATGACACACCCAATAATCTAATAGTAACCAAAACCAAATATGTATTACTCCACCAATTTCTGAACAACATATTCTTCAATTTAAAACTGCTGCAGGTGAGTTATGTGCCATCTAAAATATGTTGCTCCCTGAAGGAAATCTGATTTATACATGTTATAGGGGCTGCAGATTTTCAACCCCAATGTCACTTTCAGAAGTTTGTTCATACAACTCCCGACAATAATCTACTGAAGACAATCAGGCAGTGTCCCTGCTAATTTTTCTTCTGTCTGTGGCAGTGACTTTTAGAACCACAAGTCAATGCTGTGAATGGTGTCAGCATGACAACTGCCATGTGCAGACCCACAGAATAGTTGCAAGTGTAGCTTACAGAGAACATTGCTTGTAACATTGGTCATTTACATTTGGTAGAAGTAAGCATATATTCATGTGTAAAAATCTGATCTCTGCAACCAAAAGGAATATGTTCGAGCTTTGTGCCTTTTCTGAATTCTCAGGAACTTGGAGAGCCTTTAAGTCCTTGCTACATTCTCCATGCCAATACTTTGGTGAATCAGAATCAAGTTGTCAAGCAATCTATACTTTTCTTTCCATGTTATATAAATCAATGCGAATATTTGAAATTTGTCAGATTTTTTTTCCTTTTGTCCCAGTGAGTGCTAGATTAAATGCTTCAGAAATTTGTCTCTTTTCCTGATTTCAGCCTACAGCAATAAATGCAAAATTCTCCTTTTACAATTTATCCTTGTAAGGTATATGGCCCTTAAAATGAAGAGTGAGAGTTTTCCTGTATATAGACATTATGGCAGCTTCCAGGAACAAGCAGTAATTGAAGTTCAGATTGCAGATGGTGTGGAATCCAGGATGAGTAGTGATACAGTTCTTGTTGGCAACAAGATGATGATTAGTCTTTGGACTAGTGACAATTTTTGATGACAGATGCCTTTTACTTGTCAATAACTGTGTATGGCTCCCAGGTGACTGAGCAGCTTGGAAACAAACTCGAGAGACACAAAGAAAGACAGAAAAATAAGTATGCATATCTTCTCCCAGCCCAGAAGCTGTCTGTTCTCTGCAGTCAAAAACTCAGTTTAATCTGAAGAAAGCCAGTTGCCTTTCTTGCAGCACTTGCTGTGGTTTTTAAAATTAAAAATCAGATACATTTTCTGAGTGAATCAGATACTCTACTTCTTACAAACTTTTGGAATCATTCAGAGAAAGGCATCTGAACAACATGGGGTTTGGCCAGGCAAAACAGGAAGACTCAGTTGTGGTCTTTGCTTCCTGGTTATAATGTTGACTTTCCAGTTTTCTTACCTCCAACAGTCTAACTTTCTCCTTTGTTTTTGTTTTGGGAGGGGGTGGGTGTGTGTGCACATGCACACATGCATGCTTGCACGTCCATGCATGAGTGCACGAGTGAGAGCATGTGTGAGTGAGGTGTTTATAAGGGGATTAGAGTTTTAGCCATTAGTGTTATATGCCAACAGTTTAAATAAATTTACTTGTAGCTATAGTCTAATTACTAATAATAAATAATAATTAGTATTCAGAAACTTGGTCTGTGCTTTCAATCAACCTTGGTCTGAAAGTCAGGTAAAATCAGGGTACTGTGTGTGTTTGGACAAAGTCTGTAATGAAATCTGGAGCAGACCGATCCTGATGGAATAGAGTGAGCTTCAGTGAGCATGTTAATGCGGAGTAAGTTTACCTGACATCACTGACAATGCCACCTTCCATTAGTTTGCTAATAATTAAGAGTATATTGATTGATGAAGCAGTAATGAGCCAGATCATATTTGTCTTGCCTTTAAGTGTCTGGGCAATTTTCCATATTTCACATCAATGGTAGTATTGTAATATTACTGGAACATTTTTGTTGTGGCACAGTTAAGTTGTGGCACAATTAGATTTGAAATATGTATTCAGTATAACCACCAGAGCACTGAGAGGCCAAAGTTATCATTGTGCTTTTACCCTCGTGCACTTCTGTGGCAGCTTCCATTTTAGTTCTTTGACATTGGAACTCAAACACTGGAGATGTAACAGCAAGAACACAAGTAATCACTTAGATTTGTTTCTGGGTACCATCATGTTGAGGTCAGAATAATAGCACATACATGGTGTCCCTGCCTTTTATTTTCACTCTGATCACTTGAATCATGTCTAATGCAAAGTAGCAATTGCTGAACATAAAATGGGATATATTCTGCTTACAGCTTTGCCCATCACCATAACACATCATGTCTGTACAGGTTGATTAGAAATATCTACAAACACAGCAATCTTTCTTCTATGTAAAAAATGTGGCACATCATCATCTATGTAATTATTGTTCCATTGGCTCCCGACTACAAAAGACGTAATTGAACTAATTGAGGTGCTTAAATTGAGCAATGAATTACAGGCCATAATATTAGTGTTCATATGAAAGAAGAGAACTGTGTAAAGCCAGGAAGTGATCAACAAAACAGCTCATTGATGTGGGAGGACAATGTCAAAATAAACTTGCAGCCTGCTGTGTCATCAGAGAAAGGAGCTTGCCCCTGCTGTTCTAACACCTCTAATTATTCAAAAGCTATACAAGCAGACTTTGGTTGACATGTGGAGGAAAAAAAAGCCTTTTAAAAAAGTTAACAATATATTAGTAGTTAGCTACCACTGTACACACAAAAGATAGACTTCAGGGTTTCAAAGTGTTACTTGAACTGAAATATGTAAGTTAGAACAATTTTACCTTATAATTTGTTAAATTATAAAGTAAAACTGAATCATTAAAATTTACTTTCTATAGGCCTTACTCTTTTATCTAAAAACAAACCCCAAAATTCCAGTTTTTATTGCAAAACAAAAGATATGCAAATCTTAAAATCCTGAAATTTGCACGAGTCCAGAATATGCATCAGCATGGATACCAATGACATCTGAATTCCCAATTCAATCTTCTCTCAAGAATTCAAGCTTTTGTTTGAATTTCTGCAAGTACTGATTTGGATTTTAGAAATTCTTCTCTGTTTCAAGGATACTTTTGAATACTGCACACCTTTGCTGTCTGAAGTTTAAGTGCTAAAACTTTATTTGTAAGG